GAAACATGGCTCATGGTTCTTTAAAATATAACGTACATTGCACAAATTTGGTTTACCATAATTTTGATGTGTTGTTGATGTCTTGTTGACACATCTCTAAACATTCACTCAATCTGTTCCTCTCCTTTTATTCCAGACAACATTATCTGTTAATATTACAATGCTGTTGTGTCAGGCAAAAACTCCATGCCTACCAGGTTGTGTTTGTGATGAACAATCAAACTGGAAAACCGAGGAACTTTTGTTGATTAACCTTCAAGAAATTGAAATCGAACTGTTGAGAGGATCCGAACACGAAGTTTCTTTTGTGAAGCGACTCTTTAATTGGGCAACAGCACTGAACAAGATGACAGTAACTTTGAGCTCATCAACAACTGAAAGCAAGGCCCAGGAGTTGTTCGAGAGGTTCAAAAGCGTCTCTAAGCCAGAAGTATGCATAAAATTGATGTATCATAACCATAAGAAGGTGTTATATGCAACATGAAGTGTATCAGAACCTTAATCTTCTGTTTGTGGGATAACCATATGGAAGGAATGTGCATAAAAATATTCATGTATCAACATTTTTGTAATTTATTTTTGGTATCATCCGTGGTGGATACGATATGACAATGCCAGCAGATCTTGAAAAAAGCTAGATCCATTGTGCTCTATTCTGATCAATCAATGTTTTGTTTTTACAACTCAAAATCTATTATATTTTCAAGATAGAGGTAATATTCTCTAGTTTAGCCATTTTTCTTTCCCATGTTTCCATGATTTTTTGGGGAGTTGAGCACTTTAGACTTTGAGCTCCGATTAGGTCACAAGGAAATGAAAACCACTGGTGGGTGTCGAAAACATTGCTTTATTGCATTGGTCGTGTCATCTGTGTTATGATGACAGGTTGTGTTATTCGTACAGGCTGTGTTATGATGCATGACAGGCTGTGTTATGGTGAACTTTGTAAGGCAGCCTATGACATCATTTCCATGCATCCTCACCGTGTATGAAAGCCAAACACATACAAAATGTCATCTCTTGAATATGGCTGTGTCGGATGTCCTGTGTTCGCTCACCACTTCTCCATCCCCATGCGTTAGTTGATGGAAATTCGTGACCACTCTCCTACTCACTTGCTCTTGTCTTTCTACTCATCATAGCCACGACCATGACCTCCTACCGAGTCACGTGTTCTTGCTATCAGAGGTTGTTCTTCCCTTTGGACCTCTCGTCGCTTGAGAAGGTCTTCATGTGCCTTTAGCGACCCAATGTCCTCCTCCATGGACATTTTGTCGATGAAATGATGTTGACAAACTTAGTGGAGACGGCTCACAGTAGCTTCTTCACAATGTACATTTCGTCCATCGCTTCACCAAGTTCATGAATGCTATAGCTGTGTCATGCCATGCCGTGTCACCGTGCCTGCTCCTCGGCCAAGGTACCATAGTACGTATCAGTGTTTAACCATGTCATGCCGTCATTTTTGCTATGATCAGCAAGTTGTTCATGTACGTGTCCGCTATTGTTGCGAGTAGTAATATTACACACATGCAGATACATATCGTCATAAATTTGCTATGGTTTCTCTGGATTAAATTAAGCATGAATTTGCCTAATTTCCTAACACTTACAACATACGTCTGAAAGCAGATGAAATACTTAAAACATGTATGTGAAACACTTGAAAAACATCAGAAAGTAACTTAAAAAATATTGTAAAACATACGCAACATCTAGATAAAACACTTGCAATATATGTGTGAAACATATGGAACATCCAAATATATAAACACACTTGCAACATACACCTGAAAAAACAGATGAAACATTGGGAACAGAGGCTTGCAACATACATGTACAACCATTGAAACATCCCAGTATACTTTTGCAATATCTGCATTAAATGTTTGCAATATACCTCTGAAACATTCAAAACATATGCTTGCAACATGCGTTTTTCACCTTCTTTCATACGACGCAACGCAGAGTGGGGAATGGGCAGGCATAGGGCAGCGTCGTCGCGGCCCCCCTTCTAGAGGCGAGCGGAGGGGGTGGTGGCGACAGGCGGCTGGCGAGCTTTGGCTGTGCCACGGGCTGCCGCTGTCGCAAGCGGGCGGAGAGGGAGGTAGGGACAGGCCAGCAATGGGTGCAGGTCGCTGGCGGGTTGTGGCTGGGAGGAAGGGGTCAGCCACAGGCACAGGCGGCTGCCGGCGAGCTCTGGCCGGGCAGGGGCAGGAAGGAGCTGGCAGGAAGCTCTGGCCGGGCTGGTGACCGGAAGAAGGAGCTGGCTGCGAGCACTGGCCGGTGGAGGCGCTGCTGGGGATGGTGCAGGATATGGAGGTGCCATGCTGTGGGGCAGCGGGGGATGGCGCGATATGGAGGTGCCATGGGAAGTGAGACGAGCGAAGGTCTACTTGTGGGGAGTTTTTTTTTTCGATAGCGCGTCCGGATGGAGCAGATGTCCGTGACCAAGCACCCAAGCATTATTGTTCGCCAATTCCTTGGAGGCGAATAGCTCCCGAATCGCGTTGCGTGGCTGGCTTTGAGAACTTCACTGTAGACGGCGTCATAGCTGGTCCGCGAGGAGCAGGTCGCTGGGGTCTCGCCCAACAGCATGCCCATGCGACGCAGCTGGAGCACCTCGCCGTGCTTGGAGGCTAGCACGTGTGCGAGTCCGAGTTGGACGGCGATACGCTTGCTCTGCAGTGCGGTAGCTCCGTGTGGCCTTGGCTCGTGGCCTGCGTCTTCCTGGGCTTGAGGGGCGTGGGGGCCTTGACCAATACAGCCGCAGTGAAGGCCTTAAGCCTCCTGTTCTGCTCGCACGTCGACACATGGGAATTAGTTACGCTGCTCCGGCGCCTGGACCAACGTTGGGGCCAGTGACTTAATGGCGTAATCCCCTCCGTAGCTGGGGACCAAACGTGCTTTGAGGTGTGGACTGCGGCCCCGCTGCCTGCGCGCACGAGATGCCGATCTTGTCTACCATGGGATCCTGGCTCCGTTCTGCCCCAGTTGGTGAGTCCCGCGTCTGGACGCAGCGGCATCCGGCATCCCCAACGGGTCACCCCACGACAAGCTTCACCTTCCACGGCCTCTTCCAACAGGCTTCATGGGGGAGGATGTCGCTTTCCTTCGAGTGTGATTTGAACGTTGGTATACAACCGGCAGGGCAGCCCTGCAGCTGGGCTGGCCCCCTACAGGGGGAATCTCTGCCTTTTCTTTTTCTGGCAACTGCCGCTAACGTTGTCATGGGAGGCATGGCTGTTCGTGGCCTCACGCTTGTCCGTAGCACTGCCGGTACGTACGGCTGAGTCTCCGCAGCTATCATATGGGGCAGCAGCGAGGCAACGGAAGACGCTTGACAAGGGAGTATTTGGATCATTTAGTCACTGTCACATCGGACGTTCAGTAATTAAGAGGACTAAACATGAGCTAATTATAAAACTTATTGTACAGATGGAGACTAAATTGCGAGACGAATCTATTAAGCCTAATTAATCTAGCATTAGGACATGTTTACTCTAGCACCACATTGTCAAATCATGGACTAATTAGGTTTAATAAATTCGTCTATGTTTTGTAAATTATCTCCATCTATGCAATTAGTTTTATAATTTGTCTATATTTAGTGTTTAAACATCTTATGGGACAGAATTAGTCAGCAGGTCTCAACGTCTTCACGTGTCAGGGACAGGCACAACAACCACAGCAGCCACCACCGCGTCGGCCTTTCTCTGTGGAATACCAGAGACTCGGAGGTGGAGGTCATTTGAGCCGTTTGTTTTTTGACTGTCAATACCAGAAACTATTCCTTGAAAGTTTTCCGTCGTGGAAGGATGACTTTCCGTGACAGTTGTTCTTGACGGCTGATCCCTGACGGTTGCCGTCAGGAATACCCTTCCCTGACGGTTTCAGGCACTTTCCGTGACGGTTCTGACCGCCAGGAAAAAAACTGGCTAGGGTAGTGCGCCAAATGAATGTCCTTTCAGCGGCTATGTCCGGCTAAATACATTATACTTCTATTATCTCATTTTAGCGTCTTCAGGCTAGGATTGTTTAGCACCAAAAGTTAGTTCTCCTAGCTGTTTCCTTCTCCAGCAACTATCTTTGACTATATCACCCACTATAACCGGAGTATTAAGGCAAATTTAAGTGGACAAGAGAAAAGCATTCTCCAGCTCCTAATTACCAGAGAAGACGAGGTACGGCTCCAAGCCTAGAGAGCAGAGCTATAGAAAAGGAAATAATGGCAGAATTTGTTGGCCTACATATAGTGGCACGAATTGAAACAAAGAACAGGTTCACGTGAATAGAGGTTGCACTAAACTGGCCAGCCTCAATACCATGACAACTACCTGATGGAAAAGTAATCTCAGTCCCATGGATGGGTAGGGGCCAACGCCCTAACCATTCCTATGGCCGACTGACTCAGGGCAGTACGAGACCCGCACGTGCCACGATAGGAGGCACCCAACTTACCGAGGGTTTTTTTTTTACTGAAAACAGTAGGGGTGAGAGCCCCTACTGTGATTTATTGCAAAAACTAAATGGTCCGAGTACAAAATCATGAAACAAAAAAGGTTACAAAGAAGATAAGAAGAACTACACATAAGCTTCTAGCCATGAATCAATTGCAGGATGGAATTTGCTCTTACTGAGGTTTGTGATACCTCATCACACAATGCCTATTAAACGATGGCTCCCACTCCAAGGTACCAAGTTAAGCTAAGAGGATCATGTTGACATGACCAAGATAAAAAAAAATATGTTTACAAGATGTATTAGAATAGAAGCAAGACATACAGGAGGGCTGCGCAGCAAGCATCAGATTTTACAACAAACAGAGTTATACAGTTTGAGAGCCATCAGCGAACCAATACAGTCAAGCTAGGGAGCCAGCTAGCCGATCTTATTTCAGATCACATGACCACAAATCATTTGCTGATAAAGGAAACCATGGTCCCATTCCCAGTGCAACAAATGCAACACATATGCAATGTATCATTATCAATGCATAATCATGCATGGCCACCTGGTTGAGGTCCCGGGGCTGGGTCAATTAGGTGTTTTGCGTTCGCCACAAGGTCGGGCAGAGGAACGCCACTCTCGGAAACCACCCCTACATTTCCAAAGAAGATCCTGTACTTTTCCACTTTGGACGGGGGTAATCTCTCTATCTTGGACATCAAGTCGATCATCCCTTTTTCTCTCAAGATGGTTGCATAGCTAGAACACAATTTGGTGATAGAGATTGCCATCTCAATGGTGACCCTTCTCATCCTTGGGTATTCTGGATTTGGTATCATATTTCCTTTGAGTGCACCCACCATCTTGTCAACAATTGCTTCTCTATCATGAATATCTAATTGAATACCTTGGACATTACATATTTGCGAAGCAAGACCAATTAGAACCTCCAAATGTTTGCCTTCTGTAGACTTTATTGTATCCATCACCTGCATAGTGTGCTAGAAAAGTCAGGTAACTCCAACATACTTCTTGGCTATTTTTTCGAACAATACATCACGACTATTCCGTGATGCATATGAAACCAAACACATGTGCATGATGAACAACCCTTAATATATAACAAATTTATAAGGTCCTTCAAAAGCTATCGGGAGTACCATATCAATTTCATTTGGTTAGGATTGGAACCTGGTCATCTAAATTCATTTTTTCGACTTTCCACATGTGCTTTCATTTTTCTAAATTTATTCTATGATTTATTGATGCTATTCATTCAGTGGTGGTAGAAAATGTGACCGTAGGGTGTGTAGGAGTAATTGAGTTTAGAGGGATGAGCGCACATGTTGGTTTCTGCGTGTTTGTATATATAGTAAATTTGCAAAAAACAAAACTACAGATCATAACTTATGAAGAGCTTGTTTGGATCCTTGTGGTCAAACCTACACTCAGGTTCAAGGCTTCAACTCAATGTAGGGGACTTGTATTCATTTTGGATTTATTCCAGAATTTGATGGCGCTATTCTTTCAATGTTTAGTGACTTACCCATCGATAAGGATGCATTTCAGAGATGCTCATATGGGTGGAGTGCGTATGCATACATTGACTATGTTGACAGGGGTGAGTGTCCACGCATGTATGTAATCATCTATGTCTTTTTTGGGGGGAATTTATCTAATCATCTTTATGTCAATACTATATTTGCTAAAAAAATTTGCAAACACCCAAATTTATGACCGAATCACTGGTAGAGAACAGAGCTTTACTCCCGGTGGGGAACCCCCTCTAGTCTCGGTTCCCCACCCAGGAGCAAGCATCCGGGACTAAAGGGGGTCCTTTAGTCCCGGGTCAAGAACCGGGACTAAAGGGGGACCTTTAGTCCCGGTGGGTAACACCAACCGGGACTGAAGGTGCCTCCTGACATGCCACGAGGCCGGCACCCTTTAGTCCCGGTTGGTAATACGAACCGGGACTAAAGGTTTTTTTTTTCTTTTCATTTTTTTTTGTTTTCTTTTCAAAATAGGTTTTCGAAGTCGTATTGTACGCTGCTAATAATACATTTATACGTGCGTATAGTATGTTTCGGTTCAAGCACAATGAACGTATTAAATGACACAATTCAAGCATAGAAATATATATATATATATATATATATATATATATATATATATATATATATATATATATATATATATATATATATATATATGCATGCATCATATATATATTTACATGCATGCATGCATATGTGTATTTTACATTATATTATTTCATGTGCATATATTACAAAAGATTGCATTACAGTTGTTGTGATATAACAAGTTTCCTCTCATCCTCTAGCTTGGCTTCCATGGCAGTGTTGGGTCGAAGTAGAACTCGCCCTTGGAATCGATGACCTGGTCATTAAAAAATCCGGCTATAGACTCTTGAATTGCTTTTATTTGGTCATCCTCTATCATATCTTGGTAGTCTTGTTGTGGTTTTCTCATCGAGTCATAGATTATTAAGTGACTTTTCACCAGATCGATGTCCATCAATATCCAGTGATTGCTGCATGTGTTTATAGGATATAACGCATAACACTCATTAATTAACTAAAATCAACATATGAGCCATTAAGGATGGTCAACATTATTAACACTCACTTGAAGTTGTAGGGAAAGAGTATATCCTTCTTGTGGCGTTGGTTCGCTAAGAAGTTCATGAGGTTACTCTTTGACTCAGACTTCTAATTAGGCTTTGGAGTAACTGGGTCTTTGAATACTATATGGGGATCAACAAAACCAATTTCATTGTAGCCTTCCTTTCTGTGCTCTGTCATTGTAAATCTGCATATATATAGTACTTGTTAGGATAATTTATATGCATATACACACATATGATGAGTTTAATAATAGATCGAAAGAATTATTACTTAAAGGCAATAGCAGCTAATGATAACTTTGTCCAGAGAGGTCAGGTGGCATAGTTGATGAAATTCTGCAAAGTCAACATACATAACATCATCGCCACGGAACCAATATTCGTCTCTAATTCTGACACCAACGCAGAAGTCTCCATCGGTAGACGCTTGCATGTACCACTAGTTTAGCAGGTACATTTGCGTCCCTAGATCACCTAAGGCTTGAGGGTTGTATAGAGTCTGGCCTAGTACAAATTTTTTCTTCTAAATATCAACCTCCGCCACACTCTCAATGTTTCCATCACCAAACATCTGGTAAAGGTCGAGACCAGTCTCTTCAATAAATTCACCAAGGTGATCCAAATCGACATCCGGAGGTATGTTTGCCTGATGCATTAATCCTAAATTCGAACCATATTCATTACCAACAACTAGCGGGGGGACTGATTGGTGCGATTGTTGTTCGAGTTGTGCAACTCATTTACCTGCCCTCTTCTTTTTCTGTGCCGCCTCAATTGACTTGGTGAGAGTGCGGTCATAGTCTGTTAATGTTGCTTTGGACGGCTTACGAGATTCCCGCTGTTGTTGCTGGTAAGAAGCCACCTTTTTTCTTAGAATATCTAGAGCTACGAAGAAGTACGGTTTCTCCGGGTTTCTCCTTGCTTCTTGATCCTTTTTAAGTTTGTCATAGAATCTAGACATATCTTTTTTATATGCATTAGTTACTTCTACCTTCTCTTCAGATATTATTTTGGGAATAGCCCTTGGTTTCACGGTGGCTTTCTTTACCGGCGGGGACTGGTTCTTCGTTTGCGGGGCTGGCCTCTTGCTAGTACTTGGCTTCTTGGTAGGCGGGGGCGGGGGAGTGAAAGGTCCTTGTTTGGTTTTGGTAATTGAGTGACAACCTAGGTGGACTAATTGTGTTTATGTGAGATACACAGATGATTAGTCCACAGATACATGTGTATGAGCAACATATGCCATGGAGGTGAAAATGGCTTGGAGATGTTGCAAAGCTCACACATGTGATGATGAAGGAGCTTATTGCACATGAGACATGACATTGAGTCATGTGATCAAGGTGGAGAAGATCAAGACAAGACTTGGCTTGATGGACTGGTTGCAAGCGTGAAGGGCAAGTCAAAGGCTTTGGAGTGATGGACCGCGTGGCGGTGAAGCTTGAGCAAGACTTGGCGCCGATGGACGATAGCAACGGTGAAGAGCAAGTAGAGTCAAGATCGATGAACCAATATGATCATGTGATGATATGAAGTGGATCATATCATTATTGATCGTGTTGGTGCATGTGTTGCATCGACATTGAAGGAGATGGAATGGAATGCGCAAGGCAAAGGTATAACCTAGGGCATTTCATTTCACCGGTCATAGGTGTGTAGAGAAGTTTATGACCGGGTTTAGGATAGATGGCCGTACTATCAAGAGGGGCAAACTTGTTTGCATATCGGTCATCTAGTGCCACTCGAGTGATCTAACTTTGCATTGTCGCTAGGATCGAGTGGCGTGGCAAGTTGAGTGGCTAACATCCTTTGAGAAATGATTGTGAAAATGCTAACACACATACACATGGTGGTGTACACTTGGTGGTGTTGGCACATTTACAAAGGAGGTGGTGTTTGCAGGGGTGAGATGGGTTTGGGTCCCTCTCTCCCTCCCGCCGAGCTTGCTCGGCGGGATTCGACGCTTTTGGGAAAATAGAATGCCTATTTTCTATTGCGCCGGATGTAAGTTCTTGTGGTTAGCACATTGGAGCAAGGGTGATGAAGTTAGAAGTGAAAACGAGTTAGTCGCGAAGATGCTGGCGTCGGTCAACTGACCGGACGCTGGATCTGAATGCACCGGACGCTGGCAGGCTGCGTCCGGTCAGGCTAACGTACGATGACGCAGAAGCTGGAGTGTGACCGGACGCTGGCTGCGTCCGATCAAGTGTGACCGGACGCGTCCGGTCGAGGTCGGTACCTTACTGGAAACGACCGGACGCTGGGGGTTCAGCGTCCGGTCAGTTGATAGCTGTTGCGTCCGGTCAAGTCAAGTGACCATTGGAACCGGGGCACGTGGCCGTCTGTGGGCGACCGGACGCTGAGGTCCAACGTCCGGTCAACACGACCGGAGCGTCCGGTCGGCCCGACCGTTGCCCAGTGAAGGGGTAACGGCTAGTTTAGCCCTTGGGGCTATAAATAGAAGTGGCCCTCGGCCATGGCTGGTGCTGAGCACCTCAAGGGACTTAGTGTCCATGCTTGTGAGTGCTTGGGAGCCCTCCATCACACACATACTTGATAGCGATCATTCGATTGTGTGAGTGAGCGATTCTAGTGCGATTGCATTGTGAGGTTGCATCGAGTGGCACTAGGTGGTCGTGTTGCAAGCCGGTGGTGCTTGTTACTCTTGGAGGTTGCCACCTCCTAGACATCTTGGTGGTGGTCTCCGTCGAAGCGCGCAAGAAGCTTGTGCGGCGCTCCGGAGAAGTGCTTGTGAGGGGTACTTGTGCTCGCCCCGTGGGAGTCACGAAGAGCAACTTTAGTAAAGCGTGTCATTGAGCTACCCTCACTCAAGGGGTAGGTTCTTGCGGTGCCCGATGTGCGGGTTTAGCGGGTGATGCTAATTAGCCGCCGAACCACCAAGTGAGCGGTCGACACAACGGGGACTAGCGTGTTGGCAAACACGTGAACCTCGGGAGAAAAATCATCGTGTCAACCTTGTTCTTCCCGTTGGTTTGCATCCCCATTACACAAGCTTGCAATTACTTATATATATATCTTAAGCTTGTGTAGTTGCTCTTGTAATTAGATAGCTTGTGTAGCTAGCTAATTACCTTCTTGCTTGTGTAGCATAGAAGTAGCTCCCTTGCGTGGCTAATTTGGTTTTAGTAACCTTGTTAGTCACATTGCTTAGTTTGTGTAGCTAAGTATTTACGCTCTCTAATTAGGCGTTGGTTGCCTTGTTATTGAGCATTGCTAGTGAGCTTAGTTATCTTTGTGCCTTTGCTTACTAGCATGTGTAGGAGCTCCCTTGTTACTTAAAGTACTAGTGGCATAGGTTTGTGTGACCTTGCTCCTAGAATTGTTTAGGAGAGC